CATCTACAGGCATTCCAGTAGTTTATTGCACTTCAGCAATTAGCCTCATGGTAAGCATGCTTCGATGTGGCAATAATCACACACATGCGATATGCTAAACTAAGTAAAAAGGCTCACCTAGTACTCCAAGCCAAAATAAACAAAAGAGTTAGAAAAATGCATGATTCCTACCTATGTGATATGACTAATGTAACACATACAATATGCAATCTAAATAGGCTCAGCTACTTAACATGATATGTGAAACAATTTGATAGCATGCGGTCTAAGCATGTATTCAAAGAAGTATTTAATTAACAATGCAAGTTAGAATGATGAACCGAACCTCGATGCATGCAATATAAATGGATGCAAACATGAAACATGCTAAACAAAACATGATATCCCTAAACTAACCATCATAAGCTAGTAAATAAAAGGGAGAAAGACATGGGGTTGGAAGACATACACATTATTACACTACGCTCTCACGGAGGAGAGTCCAAATGAACTAAGCTAGCTAACTAAGTAATTAAAGCTAAACTAATTATTACAAAACAAATAAAATTAGCTAAACTACTTAACTAATTATTACAACAAATTAATTAATTATTCTAGTCAACTAAAATAATTACAAGACGAAATCGAATAATTAGTTAACTAACTCATTAATTACAACACATATCAAAATTAACTAGGTACAACTAATTATTTACAACAAACATTCAAGCTAAATATTTAAACTAAATAGGCTCGATATGTGAAGAATGCTCATGCACGTGCTCGATTTCCACCCAAAAAGCCATTGTTTTGCTTCCAAAAAGCCTCTGTTGCACAACAGAACACTAACACCTTTGTCTACTTCCAGAATAGCTCTGCTCTGCTCAAAGAACACACTGCTGAATTTTGCATCAGTGGCCGGCCGGCTAAGAGTGAGGGCCTGCCGGCCACCAGTGATAGCCAACCGGCCATCAAAGGTGGCCTGTCGGCCACTGCTGCCCAGTTCATCTTGCTACAACAAAGAACAAACAGAGCATGCACAAGATATTCTCAAGGGTTGTGTGCACAACTCACCCCTCCTTTTTATGAACAAATCAAAGGAGTAGTAAGCTTGGTCCATAAACCATTAACTCAAGCAATTTTATTGCATGATGGCTCATGAACCAAAGTGTGCAATTTCAATAAATGCAAAAAAATAAGACTCAAACCTCCTCCCTTTCATGAATTGATCAAGGGAAGTAGTGACCTTGGAAACTTGAATCATTTCATCACTAATGAGTATGAAATGCCTCAAGCTTCCATGTGTTAAATTAACGTCCGATTGAACACAAAAACAAATTCTTATCTTGCACCATTTTTAGCCCAAGTTTCAGCCCAAGAATACAGAGTTTTTACAGCCTAAAAACAATTGGAAAATAGTAAGAAAAAGAGTTAATACAACAAGCAAAGAGGAAAAGCTTTATACCTCTTGAAGAGGAGATTACTTTCAAGCAATTAAACCACACTTCCATACCCTCAAGAGCTCAAACAAGGCTCAAAAATACCTTAGCTCAATGTATAGGCAAAGGTGAAGAGTGTATAGGCAAAGGTTGAGAAATTTGTAAGAGAGAGAGAGAGAGAATTGCAAAGAGAGGAAAAATTTTGCTCCAAATTTTTTCTAAAATTTTTCCTACCCCAAAGCAAAAGGGAAGGCCCTCTATATATAGACAAACATGCAATTCCCTCAAAAACATCCAACCATACACATGGGAGCAGATGCAAGCATTTATACAAACAGCTGGCACAACTGTTACAAAATATCTGCAAAACATATTGGTGGGTGGCCGGCAGGCCACATCAATGGCCGGCAACCAAGAGTGATGGCCGACAGCCCCTAGAAGTGGCCGGCAGGCCACTAGAGGTTGCAAGCTTGCAAATCCAAGGTTTGGACCAAAAACAAGGCAACAGGGGTGTAGGGTTTGAATGGCTCAAAGCTATGGCATTTCGCTGAGGGCTTCGAGCACTTGACAAGCATATACGCTCATCATTGGGTGTGCAAGCGATGACATTCAAGCCGTAAGGGCAGTCAAAAATGGGGTGCCTAGACTTTGAGATCAGACTTGCCTAACAGACACCATATTCATCCCCTTGTGATAGTTATGTTGAACAGTTTCTTTCTTTTCGACCATCTTCTAACATGACATTTACCAAGGCCTTCACCACTTTTTATGAGCTCCTCATTGACAGAAAACCAGCCTTGTTCATTCCTTTTCATGATTTCCATTTCACCTCTTTTGGACTCATCTACATTCATATTGACCCACAAACCTTAGGTGACACCTTGAGAAACAAACAAAGGATTTTTGGGCTGAAGTCCTTACCTCTAGGCATATCCTAGTTGAGGATTCCATTTCCACCAACAAGAAGTCCAATTGCAGTTTTGAAAGCTATAATCCCTGCCAATGGGCCAGATAATTTGGACTGATTCAAGTCCTCTTATCTTCATGCATGAGTATGTTGGAATCAGGGACCAGTTTAAAAAGAGGGTAGATGCTGAAGCTATCTTGACTGAAAACCAGCAACTGTTTGACAAGTTCAGTTTCTACTTCTACAACATTACTTCCTATGCCTTTAGGAGGTTTCAAAAGTGATGGTCTCTCATGAGTGCAATCATTTTCCACAAAAGCCTAGCTAGCTGCTTCTAGGATCTTCATCTAGATAATAGAAAATGAGTATAAAGAGTTATTGGTTAGTCTTTTAACCTTTCTTGTCTCATGCATGCTTTCTGTTTTCTTTATTCCACTAATGATATCACCTTCACATATCCTATGCCATTGGTCATTGAACCATTGGCAACTGAAAAGCCAAACTCCAAAGGCAAAGAGAAGGTGGTTCAGACCAAAAAGACCAAGAGAAACCCAATAGATACTTCTTGTGCCTCTTTCATTCCTTCTAAGCCATTCCTCTAGAAGAATCATTCCTCCAGTTGCCATTTCTAAACCAACTCTTCAACTTACTATTAGCCTTTCTTCTTATTTATCTTTATCAGATTGGGATATGTATATCAGCCAAATCTTTGGCCTCCCAATTCAAAAACCTATTACCTAGAGTCCAACAAAGACTAATGAAGTACAGTACCAAGTTTCGACTACTTGCTTTACTTTTCACTTAAGTATTCTTTGCTGGTACATACTCATGACTGACTGACATTGCTTTGTTTTGTCAGAGACAAAGAAAGAGGCCCATCTCATCTTTAACTAGTTCAGAAGACCAAGAGAACCAACATAAACACCCTCCCTAACAAGTCAAAGAAAATCCGTTAGCCTCACTTGGCTCTTTACTTACTGGTATTCCTCCTAGTATAGCTTTTGGGGACCTACTTCTCTTCTCTGTCAGAGGTGTTGCCCTTGGTTCAACTGGGATCGTTGATTTCCCCAAGATAGATGACATTATGAATGAACCAGAGGGTGAAAGACAGATAATACAACCATGAATGCACCCCTAGCTAGAGAAGAACAACTAAGAGAGACCCCTATTATTGACTTGGAAGCCACTTCCAATGAAAATCAGCAACCTACCAACATGGCTTCTCCTAAGAGTAAACAAGCTTAAGAGTAAACTAGGCATGATGCTATTGAGGATGTTTATACCACTCAAGTTAGCAACACAACCTTCCACCAGGCTTGTTCCTTCTTCTTCTGCCTCTAATCTTTCTCTTCTCGACACATCCCATATGTCTTTTCCAATATAACTCAGGCCAACAATGCACCTAGTTGAGACTGAAACTGGCCAAAGTGCTACTGATATTACCCCCAATATCATACCACCAGTTGTTGCAACTGAAACTGCTAGTTTGGAATAACCAATTACTTCTTCTGTTGGCCCTCAGCAAGAGATAACTTCCAAAACATTCCTCATTTTCTTCAATTTCCTCAAATGCACCCTAACCTCTAAGTTTTGGTAGGTTGGACGTATATCCCATGCTCTCACAACTGCTGAAATGGGTGTACAAACAACTTCACTTCGCAGTCCACACAAATGGGACAATTTAGTAACAACTTCCCTGATAGGGTCTACCACTGAAACTACATCTCAAATAGAGGTAGCTCTATCACATTTAACTCATAAAGTGAAGTTATTACTTTCTTTAATTTATCATTTTTGATTTGTCCATTTAGATTGATTTAACTCTTATCGTTACTTCCTCCCAACCCACTATTGAGACTTTGCTATTAGGAGCCTCCAACCTTCAACAGTCAATCATTGACCTGAGTTTTGAAAAGAGACTTAACCAACTATCCCCAAATGAGCATGAAATAGTAGACCATTTTCTTCAATTGCTCAGCCAATCCCTTGATGAACTGGTCCTCTCAAAGGCTTCAAAACTCACCAAGTGTTTTGAATCTATTCAAACACGGGTTCCAAGACTATTCAACCCAGATCAAGCTTAAGCTTTTCAAAGCTTCTTAGATGGTCTCCCTTAACACATCTCAGCCATCATCAAGCATCATACTGAGTCAAAAGCCAACAAGGCTCAAGTCAACCAATTAAAGTCAGTGGCTGCTTCTCTGACTGATGCCTCTCATGCCTTCCAAGACACCATTACTCAAGACAACCTTCTCAGCGGAAGAAGCCCACTTTGAGGTTCAGTTAGCACAAGTTAGAGCCAAAAAGGCCCTCCTCAAGGAAGAACAAACCAAATCAAGAACAATATGCAAGACTTGCTGACTCAAGCAGAAAATGGTCCTGCTAGTATCAATTCTGCTCAAGCTAATCTTCAACAGAGCAAGTCTAAACATAGGAATGTCCTACAAGCCTGGAACAATTTTGTTTTGTATTTTCAAAAACACTAAAATCGTGTATTTGTTTCTAACTTGTACATTCCTAATAGTCCTTTAATAGAACATCATTTATGTATGTGCATGTGTTTGGTTTTCTTATCTCATGTTTTCCCACATGGTAGGGTAGTATTTCTTTAAGTATTTTCCATTGATTATTCTTCTATGTGGTTCTCCCTTTAAGGATACAAGATGATATGCTCCTCATTTAAGGACCTTGAAAACTTTAAAGGGTCCCTCCCAATTAGGAAACCATTTTCCATACTCTGGGCTTTTTGTTCCAAGAGGCAAAATAGTTTTCCAAACTAATTCTCCTTTAGAGAACACTTTGTGCTTCACTTTCTTGTTATAACTTCTCTCTACCTTTTTGTTTTGTGCTATCAAATGATTGAAAGCAGAGATCCTATTTTCTTCTAAATCTTGTAACTCAATTGACATGGCTTCACTATATTCATCCATTGGGATGTTCAACTGTTGAGTTAGTTGATTGGACCTCACAGTAACTTTTGAGGGGAGTACAACATCATGTCTATACACAAACTCATATGGAGTTGTTCCTATATTATTTTTCCTAGAATTTCTGTAGATCCACAATACCTCAGATAATAGATTATGCCAATCCCCAGGATTATCCTCAATAATTCTTTCCAATGTATTCTTCACAATTTTGTTTGTTGCTTCAGCCTGCTTATTTGCTTAAGCATAGTAAGGAGAAGAATATAAGATTTGAATGCCATGCTCTGTGGCAAACTCCCTCAGCTCATCTCCATTGAACATAGTTCCTTGATTAACTGAGGCAAACCAAACCTATGGATCACATTCTTCTTAAGGAATTCAATAACCTAAATTTGAGTGATAACTTTTAGTGGAATTACTTCTAGCCATTTTGTGAAGTAATCTATTGCCACTAACAAATATGAATGTGCCTTTGAAGAAGATGGGAATACCTGGCTTATCAAGTCTATTGCCCAACCTCTGAAAGGCTATGGCCTTAGTATTGAATTCAAGCTCACAACTAGAACTCTTTGGACACTGCCATACTTTTGGCAACGTTTGCATCCCTTAGCATATGTAATGCAATCCTTTCTTATGGAAGGCCAAAAATAACCATACCTATTAATTAGCCATCTCATCTTATCCCTAATCTGATGGGCTCCACAAATGCCATCATGTGCTGCTTCCATTGCCTTTATTTGATCTTCTTGGCTAATGCCTAACAAAGTTAACCCATCATGTGCTTTTTGAACAAATCATCACCCATAATGACATAGTTTAGGGCCTGGTACTTTACTTATCTATCACATACTTCATTAGGATTAGACAAGTATTTGATTAAAGGGAACCTCCAATCATTTTCAGATACTTCTAAATTCATTATTTCCCTACTCTGATGGGCTCCACAAATACCTTCATGTGCTGCTTCCATTGCCTTTATTTGATCTTCTTGGCCAATGCCTAACAAAGTTAACCCATCATGTGCTTTTTGAACAAATCATCACCCATAATGACATAGTTTAGGGCCTGGTAATTTACTTATCTATCACATACTTCATTAGGATTAGACAAGTATTTGATTAAAGGGAACCTCCAATCATTTTCAGATACTTCTAAATTCATTATTGGCAAGAAATTCATGTGTCTATCCCTAAAGGCCAAGAAATTCTTTCTTTGAATCCTTATGATTCTCTCTTAGGCTCCCCATAGGAATTTTCAACCTTGATGTAGTTTGAGCCATTTCACTGGTCTCCTTATTTTCTATCCTATACATGTGCGTGAAGGATACATGATCAAAGAAGCTTATTAACCACTTGACCTCAATTAAATATTCTTCTAGAGTTCTATTCACACACTTAAACACTTCCTCAATATGTTTGATAACCAACTAAGAATCACCAAATACTTCAAGTATTTGATTAAAGGGAACCTCCAATCATTTTCAGATACTTCTAAATTCATTATTGGCAAGAAATTCATGTGTCTATCCCTAAAGGCCAAGAAATTCCTTCTTTGAATCCTTATGATTCTCTCTTAGGCTTCCCATAGGAATTTTCAACCTTGATGTAGTTTGAGCCATTTCACTGGTCTCCTTATTTTCTATCCTATACATGTGCGTGAAGGATACATGATCAAAGAAGCTTATTAACCACTTGACCTCAATTAAATATTCTTCTAGAGTTCTATTCACACACTTAAACACTTCCTCAATATGTTTGATAACCAACTAAGAATCACCAAATACTTGTAACCTTCAAATCTTGAACTCTATAGCCAACTCTAGACCAATTATCAAGGCTTCATACTTAGCCTGGTTACAAGACTGTATATGTTTCTCACCTAACTGATAAGCAAACTGGTATATTTGTTTGTCAGGAGAGATCAGGACAATGCATGCACCAACCTCCTCATCTGTTCTAGATACATCAAATATTAGCCTCCAAGGCTCAGTTTCTATCATATGCACCTCAAACAGATTTGGTTCAACTGGCAAGCATGGATGCTCTACTATAAAATCTGCTAAAGCCTGTCCCTTTACCGTCTCTTGTGGCACATACTTGAAACAATATTCAATTAAGGACAAAATCCACTTGCCTTGTATGCCTCTTAAAATAGACTTAGACAACATGTATTTTATGACGTCAATTTGTACTATAACAAATAGTTCTAAATGTAACATATAATGCCTAAGTTTAATGGTAGCAAAGTACAAAGCCGAACACAACTTCTCGATAGAGGTTTTATGACATCAATTTGTACTATAACAAATAGTTCTAAATGTAACATATAATGCCTAAGTTTAATGGTAGCAAAGTACAAAGTCGAACACAACTTCTCGATAGAGGTATACCTAGTTTTAGTAACATTCAACCTTTTGCTTAAGTAATAGATGGCTTGTTCATAGCCCATGTCATTTTCTTGGGCCAACAAACATCCAATCGACAAGTTACATGCTGAAATGTAAAGTTTCGAAGGATTTCTTGAGATAGGTGGCATTAGAACTAGGAGATTGGCCAAGTAACTCTTGATCAAATCAAAAGCTTTTTGGTGATATTCCTCCCACCTAAACTCACAATCTGACTTTATTTTTACCAAGGAAGAAAATACTAGAGTTTTTTTTAGCTAAATTTGCTATAAACCTTCTTAAGAAATTGATTTTGCCTATAAAACTCTACAATTCTTTCTTGTTGCTTGGGGGTTTGGCTTCCAGGATAGCCTTGGCTTTATTAGCATCTACTTCTATGCCTTTGTGATGCAACAAAAATCCTAAGAATTTGCCTACAGTCACCACAAAGGCACATTTCAAAGGGTTAACCTTTAACTGATGACTCCTCAGTCTTTGAAATGCCTGCCTTAGATGAGTTAAATGTTCCTCAATTGTATCAGATTTGACAGCCACATCATCAATGTATACCTCTAGAAACCTTCCAATTAAATCAAGGAATATGAAATTCATTGCTCTTTGATATGTGGCTCTAACATTTTTCAAACCAAAAGGCATCACTACTCATTCAAATGTGTCTAAGGCTCCAGGACATCTAAAAGCAGTCTTATGGATGTCTTCTGGGTTAATGAAAATATGGTTAAAAGCATGCCCATCCATGAAGGATAAGACCATGCTCTTGGTTGCTAAATTAACTAACAAGTCAGCCACTGGCATAGGATACTCATCCTTTGGAGTAGCTAGATTTAAGTTCCTGAAATCTATACATACTCTCAATTTTCCATTTTTCTTCATAACAGGCACAATATTTAACAACCATTCAACATCCTAGTTGTCCTGATAAAACCTGCCTTTATAACCTCTCGATTTCTTCTTTAACTAACAAAGTCACTTCATTAGTCATTCGTCTTGAAGGTTGCTTATGTAGAATGAAATTTTCATTTATTGGCATTCTGTGTTCTACTAATGTTCTATCCAAACTAGGCATTTCTTTGTAACTACAAGAAAAACAATCCACATATTCATATAGCAAACCAACAAGTTTTCCTTTACTTTTATTAGATAAGCTAGCAATTACATAGATTGGCCTTTTGTAAGCCTCAGTTCCTAAGTTGAATTCCTTCAAAGGGTCTTGAACATCTGCCTTGAGATCATCAAGCTTAGCAAGAGCAACTCTCAAATGCTCCAACTGCACCTCTTTATAACTCAGAAGTCTATTCTCTATTACACATTCTGCCCACGAACAATCAAGCACATACTTAAAATTAAACCTACTTGCTAAAAAGAAATTAAAAAGTCTAGAAAAAATATATATCTATTTACAGGAGTTGCAGCTGTCTCATCCAGTATGTTCCTCACATGTTTGCATTTGCATCATCCACTCCTTTTGTCATTTCTTCAATCACAAACCCCTTCTGTTTCGGCATTAGGCTTGGTTTGGCCAATTCCTGGCCTATCTGTTTGAATCCTTTTTCTATGATGCTCTTGAACTCTTCATTGGTTAGGCTCTTTCCTTGGGCCTTGACCTCATCCTCAGCCACCTCAACTAGGCCTATGTCCTTATCATACAACACATCCTCTATCCTGCTGTCATTTGCAGCAAAAAGATTGGCATCTGCCCAATAGATCTCCATTCGTTTATGTTCATCTTGTTCATTATTAGTCAAGAATATCAAAACTTGATACAAAGAGGATGTCACACACCCATTGAGGTGTATCCAGTCTCTACCTAATAACACATTGTAATTAGAAGTAGAATCAATTACAAAAAATGTGGTTCTCATTAGCTTTGAACCAACTTGAAGTTGTGTAGCAACAACTCCTCTTGCCTCAAATAAGCCTCCAGCGAAGTTACTTATATTAATATCAGTAGGCAACAAGTTCTCTTCTGACTTGCCTATAGCTCTTAGAGTCTTGGAAGAGAGAATGTTGACTATGGCTCTATTGTCAACCAACACTATGTCAACTAGGACTCCATCTAGATGGGCCTTCACATACAATGGCCTTAAGTGCCTGATCAGCTTTTCATCAAGCTTTTGCAGCACCACTTTTTTACCATCGACTAACTTAAGCACCTTAATAAACCTTGGTGGTTGACTTCTGCCTCAGTCATTGCTATTTGCACAACTGGTTCTGTCCATCTTCAACATCACCTGGCAACATATCTGGCTAGTCTGGTTCGGCTTGAAACCTCTTTGGGATGGCCATAATCATATTGCATTCCTTGGAAGCATGCAAAGAACCAAACTGAATGGCTTCTATTTTCTTATCAAACTCTTCTGAACTTTCTGACTTAGCATCTTCTTTTACAACAACACTACTTTATCTTATAGTTGACTTTGCACCTTTTTGATCTTCAGCACCACTTTTTTACCATTGACTAACTTAAGCACCTTAATAAACCTTGGTGGTTAACTTCTGCCTCAGTCATTGCTATTTGCACAACTGGTTCTGTCCATCTTCAACATCACCTGACAACATATCTGGCTAGTCTGGTTCGGCCTGAAACCTCTTTGGGATGGCCATAATCATATTGCATTCCTTGGAAGCATGCAAAGAACCAAACTGAATGGCTTTTATTTTCTCGTCAAACTCTTCTGAACTTTCTGACTTTGCATCTTCTTTTACAACAACACTACTTTCTCCTATAGTTGACTTTGCACCTTTTTTATCTTTCATTTCAATGTTAACCATACCATCTTCATCATCATACATTAATTCTTCTCTAACTCTTTCAATCTCAACCTCAGTATTGCTTTGTCAGGCAAAGTCTTTCCTTATTTTTTCTCCTTGTCCACCACTGGTTTCCTCAGTAGCTGTATAGGTGATTGGGCTATCTGCTCCTTTGAAGTTGAACCCACTACTGATTTTGGTGGTACAAACCCTTCCTTAGTCTATACCAAATTCATTGGACCTCCATCACCTGCCATTCTAGACATCATGGCATGAAACCTTCTCTGTTCCCTTCTTTTCTGAGTTCTAGTAGGTTCCATTTGTCTTTATCCTCATAAAGGAAACTTTGGGTGAACAACCCCATGCCATCCTAAGTTAGGTAGCACTAGTGGTTTCACCATTTTTGGCTGTATATCTAGCCTCAACTTTGGGCTACTATGCTGCAATTCCTAATATGGTCTCACAAATTGTTATTGGCGTCCATATGGCCTTCCAGTCAACTGGTGGCCAATATGTGACTTCACAGGTTGCTGTTGTTGCTGGTCAATGTATGGCCTTGTCAATATTTTTGGATTTCCATAGGGCTTAGACCTCTTTTGCTATTTTAGCAGGGCCCTAATGTTGCTTGAGCCACCAAAACATGAATGAACATGAGCTCCTTGAAATAAGAATGGAGCATCATCCTTACCATAATCCTCTGCAAGCCCAAATATTCTTGGGTCTGATCCATCGTAGAACATGTGGTCATTGTCAAATATTTACAGGTCACCACCTTCCATGGTGTTGAACTTGAGACCAACATCCTTTCCGATTTT